TCAATCGTTGTTTACTCAGCTGGGAGACAATAAGTACGCTTTAAGCTAGCAGTCCCTTTTTATACCAGGATTATTTTATCATCATGCAAGAATTGTATTATTTACTTCATATTTATTTGTTTATTTGTTCATGCAGGCGATTTCGAATTTGTGTAATTTATTCTTGATTCTCTAAAGTGTTTTCCTCGAAGACATTAGCTAAAATTAGCTACCCTATAAATTCGACTCTCAGTACAATAATTTATCTGTTTATGTTAGACCAAAATTGGTGATTATTATCCTCTGCCTTCTCTTGTTTGTTCGCTAATTTTAATCTCTAAATACTATACTCAGCAAAAATGTCTATTTCTTCTATGGTTGGTTACAAATAACGCTAGATCATAACGTTGTGCTTTACAACGATGTAAAGCAGCGCTGAAAAAATATAGAGTTCGCTTCCAAGCTTCTAAATGCGCACTAGCTAAACTATTTAATTTAATACAGCCCCAATTAACGAAGGCGTACTCACCAGGCGGTGGAGTTTGCGTAGGTGGCTGTGGCGTCTGTGGGGATGGAGGTGGGTTAGGTCCTCCTCCTCCTCCTTCTCCTGTGGACAAAGCGTAAGCTTGAGTTCAATGTGGCTTTAATAAGGGACAGACCATTAGAAAAGTGATGGAGGGTGGGAGTGGGGAAAAAACAAAACAAAAAAAATCATGCAGGGGAAAATGCCAAGAAAAAAAATCCTGCAAAGAAGAAGGTAAAGAAAAAAAATTCATGCAGAAGGAAGGTCCAATTGTGACTAAAATTTAATATATTTAATTTGCCAGTGTCTGTTAAGAATAATTCTTATTCAAAATATTCTTGAGGCTTTACCCCAGGCCCTGCTATATTATTATCAATAAATAAAGACATCTAACAGTGTACTGAAGTGTTTTCCTGACACTGCATGAAATGACAAATATAAGGTGACATAAATTAATTCATGCTACAATAGCCAGAAATGTCATTCCGAAATCAACAACATTACCAGGCACAATATGAATAAACAAAAATAACTTTCTTCTTATTGAAAGGAGACAATTAGAACCTTGTTTTTGTTTTAAATTACAGCTAGTGTACCCACTACATACACTGTATACTGTATTATAACAAAAATATTAACATAAAATTTGTAATGAATAGATATTAGAATTTGGTATCTTCGTAAATATTCTATAAAATTATTGTGCCCACAATAAAAATTACAGGATGGGTCTTATCCCCTTGAATAAGAATTCTATAATACAATGAAAAAGTGCATTCACACGTAGCAGTAAGTGTTAAAACTTGAACTGTCAACAACATAAACAGCAACACTGCCACCGGTACTTTTAACAAAATTAAAAACCACAAAATATGGTTTTCATTGGTAGCCAGTCTATCTGGCTACCACCTGAAAAAATACTCCTGCACCAGCAGTGAGCGAAAAAAAGAAATTCGTGGAAGCTAAAAAATCCCCCCCCCCCCCTCTTCACCGTCATCACTTTTCTAATGGTTCGTCCATAATAGCCCTTGTTTGCTATATGAATATTTAAACGTGGTTACAAGGTTTTCTGCCCAAAATTGCAAACACTCTTCGATTTCCTTGTCTGGTAATTTCCATAAGAGCAGTGACACACAGAAAAAAACCAGACCAGATATTGAATTTTCTAAATCCCTGGTGCCATGTTAGAATTTTGGTGCATCGAACGTGGACTTTTAACATTAAATTAACAGAAAAGCATGACAACTGCCCTATTTTCAGTACATCCGCGCTTATTAGTGCTCTAAGGGAGTTATATTCTAAATTAAATCCCAGCCACACCAGAAACACAACATTGTGGTACCGTATGGCATTGGGAATTCCTTTTGAATTTCATTCCCAACAAAAGTATTAGATTTTGACACTACAGGAAGTTCAAAAACGAAACTGTATCTTCTTCTCACCTTCTCTTGCCATGGTACAGTGCCTGACTGTTGAACAGTGGCACACTGTTATAATATTTACATTGGTTTCTTTTATATTGCACTAAATTTACAGTCTTTTTTAGTTAAGTTAAGTGAAGTGAAGTGAAGTGAAGTGAAGTGAAGTGAAGTTAAGTCAAGTTAATATATTCTACTGTCCAATCTTCAACAGATTAGCTTACAATAAATTTTAATGATATGTATGTTCTTAACATTTATATTGTAATTACATTACGTGATCTGTCGTGTATGGAGCTTCATTACTCTTTTACAGATTACCTTTATGGCTTCCCTTTATTTATATATTTACAACTTTTTTAAGTACGCCATTGAATTGTATTAAATAAATTCCTCTGAAGTGGAAGTGGCCAACTTTTTCTGATTTTTATTTATGTTTCTGTTAAGGTTACTTCCCACCTTCAAGAGTGAAAAAAATCATTTTTTCTTTCATTTGCCTAAATTGAAGTTTATCATTTTATCTAACATTTACAGAAAAAAAAAAACCTCCTGAAGCAGCTTCATGTCCCGCTCCAGCACACAAGTGGGCGCTTCTGTCGACAACCCCGTATTTCTCTTTACATTTATTGTGCGACACGAGTGGTAGTTGTGCCTGCTGGAGTATGTTTGCCGCTGGTCCTCCGCCTGAAGTGCGACCCCATCCTGAAGTCATGTTTAATACGTTAGACCTTAAACTTTTAAAAAATACTATCTAAACTAGATTGGGATTATAAACAGGGTTTACTCTTATACCGTAATGATTGTGGTTAGTATGTACCAAATGCGAACTACTAGGTAGCTTAAACTCTTGGTATAAATGTCAAGACGCGTTCTACTTCAAACGCTGAATTTACTTTGTAGGGAATTTTCAATCATCTATTTGTGCTCTTGATTGAAATCAAAGTAGTATGAAAGCAAAACTTACTCACGACTAAATAACTTACCCTTGTGTTGCTTGCTTAGTAGCTAACATAACACTTTGAGTTGCCTTTCTTACATTTTTTTTTGCAAAATCACTACGCATTCATTTAGTTTTAACTCTTCAATACCCATTTTTGCGCTTGCATGATTGTTCTGAATTGGGCTCAGCGGTGCTATTTCGGTTTTATTAAGAGTGAAGTCAAACCTGTTATGTAACACTTGGAATTCAAATCTGCATCTTGGTCAGGAAGACAAACTGTAGTCACTTTGTCACTCAACTGTGCGTTTCTCTCTAACTGAAGAACTGCAATGTCGTGCTTAAGGTTCTGCATGGTAAAGCCGCTGTGCTTGTAAAGAGCCTTCAATCGAAACGTCTGTTGCACAGACGTGGTTCCAGTTCGACTGTGAGCACCTGTAGTAGTTTTTAGAAAGATGAATTATATTCAACTCCACTTGCATTGATGCATTATTTCCAACAGTTCAATATTTATTTTATCTTTCTTTTTGCTTTTATATAGGCTTATACCACTTTTTTTTACTTTGGATTACCACTAGTTTTGTATGTCATAAAACGTCCTAGAGCCATAGTCCATCAAATCGACAGCGGTAAAGTACTACGTATAATAACGTTTAACGTACCCACAACAACTGTATAACCACTTGGTGATGGATTTCTGTCCACGCAATGCGCTGCAGTCACAACCCAGTCAGACCTTATAAGAGATCCACCACAGATATGTCTACCACGCACACGAAGAGAAATCTGCCACGGCCATGAGTGGGGACTGGCATCAACACCATTTACCACTCGGGCGAAAGAGGGACGCATACCACATCCTACAGGTGTGAATAATAAAGTTGAAAAAACGGCCATGTATCTATTATTAGCTTGATTTAAATTTAAAATTTTTTTTAACTAGATCCTTTGAATACTAAAATTAATACTTCTAGACTGCAACACAATGTACGTCATTTAAAAGAAACCACGTGCACAAAATTGATCCCGTTTGCGCGGAACTGGTCTTCAACCTCTGGAAAATTTACGCTACTTTTGCACGGTGTTTTCTTTCACCTTTGCTGCTTTAAGAATTCGAATTCGATCATGCTGAGACATGGAAGAAAAAGGGCTCCAGTTTGCAAATATCTTTGGATCAGAAATCGAGTAAACGCAACAAACACGCTTGCTGCAATCGTGGAAAAAAGTCTTCGGGACACTTATGTAATGTAATGAATTATCTGTGTTTTAGAACTGAAGATTGAAAAAAACGCTGCTATATCCTTTAAAAACGCGTTGCTAACCCCGCNAATAATTTAACCACTCCTTTAATTTAAGAACTCTGTACTTTCTTTATAGTACTTTGAATACAAAGATTCAAACAAGAACTCTTACGGTACTTGGAGGCAAGTAGATGGTCAAGTGAATGCTCATTAAAGCTCCTCAAAAAGCGAGTAACTTGACGTTTAAAGATTTTAATTAGTCTATAATGCTAAAATTAAGTACGAACAACAACAGTTTTATCAAAGCTTTGTTCCACTGCACCCTTGTATAAGTTCTGAACTTTTTCTTTCAAAATCCTAGTAGGAGGGACATTGCTGTTATGGCTATCCATGTTCATGTAAAAGACCTGAACAGTCCAACCGTAAGCGTTTGGTAAATTGCCCTACTTACCTTCGGAAAAGGAAGGTTCCAATATAGCCAGAGCCAAAAGAATGAGGGAGATCATGCTTAAAACAGAGCACCTCTTTCTGTGCACCACACTTACTGAAACATGTATCTTATATCAGTCGCTATTATGGCGCTTTCCTAGCGTCTGTCAAAGTTTACTAAGGCTGATTCTACCGGAGAGAACTGATCAAACAGACCAGCTAGAGGGTGAGTAAATTACTTGTTGAATGAAAAAAATGCAAAGATTAAACGCCCGACGTACTGAATAAAAATTGGACAAGTTTTTGACGGATAGAATCAATATTAGCCTGAATCATTTACTCACAAGAGCCAACTGCGTAAGTCAGGCGTTTGAATATTTGTCTAAAGTCAAGAAAAGGCTTTCAACTAGCAGCAATTCAAACAAAGTTATCAGAATGGCATGGACATTAAAAAATGTTCTTTTGTTTCGTTCGACTTTCAGCGTGAAGCAAAATCTACAAGATTATCCTAACGCGAAAATAATTTATTCTTGTAAATAATATTATCAGGGACAAATTTTTAATAAAGAATTTACTAAAACAAAAAAGAGAAAACTGGTTCCTCCATGGTGTTATAGATTTTATATTCATTCATTGCGGCGCTTTTTAAACTGTATCAGTTATCGCAATTGGGCCGACCCGTCGGAGGATAAACAGTTATCGATAAACAGTTTTTCCATTTGAAGGTGCCGCTGATAATTCCCATTTATCTTTTCGCAACACTGTTTATGCAATAGACCACTCTTTCTATGGGTTTACCGGCGCAATAAACCCCGCAGGGTGTTGGGAGAACACGATAAATTCTTGTAAATCCCGTGCCGTCAGGCGAGTAAGTGATTTATAACCGGAAGCTTAAAGCTTTTTGTGCCGAAGAATTTCTGGTGAGGTCGTGTTTTTCCTTGTAAATTCCATGCATATGTTGAATAAAAAGAAATTCGTTTTATTGATATCTCAGCAAGTGAAAACCGAAACTGTTTATTACATTTGTTATCGCTAGTGATCTGAATTCTCTTGTTCCCGCGTAGATTTGCCAGATCGGGAACCGTGCTTTATCGGTGCAATAGAACGTAGATTTTCCACCTCTATTGACCACTCAGAGCG